TCCTCCATTTCCCCATTCCATTCCTGCACCATTCCTGTCCACCCACCCCAAGATACCCCAAGGTACTTGCTTAATCCATCTACCACAAATGAGCCCAGGAAAAGAGAGTTCTCAGCAAAACTTGTAACACAATTCCTTTTGCCCTGCAATCAGCATGGCTGTAAATTAGGAATTTTAGAGAGGGTTTCATTGTCTGCTTCTAGTCCTGAAAACGAATATGCAAGAAATTATTTGGCTTTGTTGTTTTGTTTTGCTGGAGTGAACATTTTTAATAACTTCTTGTCTCATGGAAAAATTAACGTATGTAAGTTGCTAAAATTCATGTAAGTACACAAAAAAAAATACAAAGTAAGAAATTCCTCATTATCTCCCAAACAATCTCAGAGATAACCACTGTTTAGTATACATATACTAACATATATACACAATGCTTCCAATATGGAGCCAGGATTCAGAATCTCTGATTTCAGCCAGTCACACTAGGAATTCCCCAGTCACACTAGGGAATGAAATTAAATTAATCTCAGTCATAATCTCAGTCAAGTGGAAGTAAAATAAAGTTCACACTCTAAAAGGTGTTATTATCTTAGTCTCCTCAAAAAACAAACAAATCTCACCAATGTTTAAACTTTTGCATTACAAGCCTTTAAGCAGGTTATAAACCTGCCACAGGTCTAATGTTTATTCCAGAGGGAGGCATCTGGCCAGCTCAGTCTGAAGGGCATGCAACCCTTGATCTCCAGGTGGTGAGTTTGAGCCAAACGTTGGGTATGGAGATTACTTCAATAAATAAAACTTTTTAAAAAATAAAAATAAAAAATAAATTCTAGGCTGTCTTAGAACACAAAGAACTCAGTTTCTGAGGTTTAAGGAAAATCTTGGGTCACTGAAAGAAGGTAAAGAGCAAACAAGCAGTTAGTGGCTACCTACCAAGTACAAAAGACTAGTCCTAGTCACAACGGCAGTCAACTCTGAACTGGGTGGAATGTGGACCCCTCGGCATCAGATGCCAAACTGGGATTGCAAGTGTGCAGAAGAATCAAAACTGTTGAGTCCTGAGGGGACTGACCAGGATACTAGTGGTGCAAGCTCTTACTCTGCTTGTTGCCCATTTCAAAGCAGGTAAGCAGCGAAGAAATGGCCTTTGTGGGAATCACAACACATGATAAGAGCCCCTGCAGATCTACCATACACATGTGTATACGACTTGTGACGGGTGAACGGAGGGAGAAGAAAAACCTCCCTAAGAACGTGCAAGAATAAAGTTAGGAGCAACAAATCCTCTTCCACACGGGACTGGAACTGAGTGTAGTCAGGGCGGCAGCAGGAGGTCCTATCACACGGCAGCGCTCCTCCCCCGGCCCGGGAGGCTCCCCTCTCCCACCTCCGCTGCACCCTCAGGAGTTGTTATAGTAACCGCACTGACACATGCAGCGTCCTGCATGCGCCACGGAATTCGCTGGTACTACATAAACTGGGCTCCCCGCTTCTTCCCGAGCAACAAAGGCACATACAGATTTTAATCTATGGTCCCACCTGCAATTTCTGCAAGACCTGCTTGACTTCCTCGTCTTCATCAGCCATCATTTCCCAGCCACTCTCTGCTTCTCCGCCCCCAACTTTGTAACCACAGAGACTCATACCCACCCACCCAACCCCGCATCGTGGAGCCAGAGCGACATCTAGGGCACTGGAGGCTTATCTGCATCTGAGTAGAGGAGCTGGTGGATTAATGGGTTTGGTTTGGGGTTTTTGATTTTGCTTTTTACGTGTCCAAACATTTTTTTAATTTAAAAAAATGGACTAATTATACATTTAATAAATTAAAATGGTGGTTTCTGATTGCAAGAAAAAAAACAAAAAAAAAGTTGTTGTATAAGAATCACTGTAAAGTTACAATGCAAATACATTTTTTTTTGTGAAAAGGCATAAAATTTCCTTTATGGGCAACTTGTCATTTATCCATCGTGTAATATCAAATACACCTGTACTCCCGTAAAATAAATATGATTCTTTTGAGGGCAAAGAGCCAAATCAAAGACATCACTGAGGAAAAACTTGAATAGTAGACTATGAATTCTACAGAAGACAAAAGCTCTAATTTTAAATGACTTTAAACTCCCTAATTCCTGACAGGGTTCTCAGAATATAGTTTCTCAGTTAATGAGTAGCAAATTGACTTACTGGTTAAATTACTGGAGCTTTCTGACAACAGTATAAAATAAATGGATAATTCGGAGTAACTAGCTTTTGGACTTTAATTTAGTCCAATTTAAATTATTTAATTTAGTACCAAATGTTTAAACAGCCATTAGAATTGCTAAACTGTGAAATCAGCATTATTTATATCTGATAAGGTATACAAAACTCATCAATTTTTTCCTGAAAAAAAACAAAAAAGCAGTAGAAATCCCAAAGAATAAAGAAAAGACTACTAATTAGGGGTCACATTTATGGACCTAGCACCATCATTCCAGTCTTAGACCATCCCAAGTGGACAGAATGAGGAAGGGAGGAGATGAGCATGTTGGAAAAGGATAGTTCTTAATTTGTGGCCCATTGGTACTCTAAGCCAACATAGGATCTAGCAGAGAGGAAAATCACTGAGGCTGGAATTTAAAACCAAAAAACTTTTGGCTCAGAGGGTAAGGAGGCACTCAAGAACAACAGAATCAGTATATGCAGAAGGCCATGCTGGAGCCTGCCTCGTGAACTAGGGAATTTCTTCTTGACATCCAAGTCCTTTTAATTTCTATAAGTTTTTTTAACCAGGTGTGATATGTCGTAATTCTGAGCCAGATACATTCCAACCACATTACCAAAAGTACATCCAAGCAGGAACTAGAGCAAGGTTTTCTGCTAGAAGTGTGCAAAGGATGGCTAGAAACTGATTTTCATGAAATGGCACTGCTGCAAATCAACTTAACCCAATGCCTGTAGGTCAAAGAAGATGCTCTATAATCACTTTTGAGTTTATAAACTTGTTATTTTCCCAAATCCTGGAAACTTCTAATATTCTCAGGTTGATTGCATGTATCTTTTTGTTCCATATCTTTCTATTTATACCAAGATTATAATACCACCTTCCGCACCAAAAAAGGACAGGTTCAGACAGTGTATGCCTGTGTTGTAAGTTTAAAACCTTAAGGGAAATGTAGTACAATGGTAAGGTAATTTGTCTGAATATTTTCCAAACTTGACAGTTATTTTCTATATCAGAGGGATTTCATCATTTTGAACACACTATATTAATAATTCTGCTACACTCAGAATGGTATCATGAAAGTCATAACTAATAAATACTATATCAGTACATTAATATATACCAACATATTGATAGACTATGTCTAGAAGGATAAATAAGAAACAATGACTATCTCTGTAAAAGGAAATGGGGACCAAGAGTTGTCAGTAGACAAAGAAAATGCTTTTGCTGTGTACACTTTTGAACTTATCATGTGCATGTACCTATTTAAAAATAAACATAATTTTTATATAAAATATTAGTTGCTTCCACATAGACTATCTCTGAAAGAGACACAAGATACTGACAACAGTAGTTGCTTTCAAAAAAGTGAAGTGAGTGACTGGGGGACAGGGTGAAAGGGAGACCTCACTCCATGCTTTGTTTTACACTTTTTTTGAATTGGTGTCATGTGACTATATTAAACTCTTCAATAAGTAACTAATTAAAAGTAGCATGTCCTAAGAAATTCTCTCTACTTTTTAATTATAGCTTACATGTATTTCAAACTGATCCTATAAACCTAACACAAGAAGCAAAGTTTCAAAGCAGAAGTAAATCATAAATAAACATAAAATTATTTCCCCACCATTTTCTAACAAAATTTAAACTGCAGAGAGAAGAAAAATACTTTGTAATGTAATCTATAAAATGTGTTAACAGCTATGAAATGGGAAGAGATATTTTAAAACTTTTTAAGTGAAGACTTTTCATCCTCTTTCTGATATACCATTTTAACTCTGGAATAAGTAAAAAATGTTTTTGAAAAAATTTTATATTCTATACTACTAAGGAAGAAAACAGTACTTGCTATCCAATTATGTAAAGCAACGATATTCACTTGCTTTTCTATGACTAAATATAAAATATCCTCAAATATATTCAGCATGACTTTATTACCCAAATATCAAAGGGATTTGGTATTTAGAGTAATTCTACTATAATTCCTCCTAAACCAATAGAAATAAATAATAAAATTCAAGAGTTAGAAAAGGTCTATAGGATAATTTAATTCAGTCCCTCATTTTACAGATTCAGAAGCAATCCCAGAAAGTTTAAATTCAAACTCAAAACCAACCTATGGGGAGAAAACAGAGTTAGATCCTAGATGTTCTGCTTCTGCAACCAATATGTTTTCAAGTCATGCCACTAAAAGCATGTACAGTAACTGAAAGTATTTTTCAAACTTCTTTCTTGGCTTTATGTTTGTTTGTTTGCTTTTTAAGATTTATTTAAGAGATCACATGTGCAGGGGAGGAAAGGCAGAGGGAGAGAGGAGACCTGAAGCAGACTTCCTGCTGAGTGCACAGCCAGACTCAGGGCCCTATCTCATGACCCTCAGATCATGACCTGAGCCAAAATCAAGAGTCGGACACTTAACCCACTGAACCACCCATATGGGCCAGCTCTACAGTTTAAATAAGTTGTTTATGATAGTGATCATAAATGCTGTTTAATAAAGGAAAACAAGGAATAAGTCTTTAAAGGTATTTTAATTAATATAATCTCTTGAGATCAATAACATATTGTAAGTTTTCTGTGGTAAGAGTGCATCCCTAAATAAGGCACTGCTGTCAGAAGGGTGGAGTCATTTCATTTTAAAATAAATGCAAAAAAAATCAACTTTACAAAATAATTTTATCAATGTGAACCTTTTTTTTAAATTTCTTTTCAGTGTTCCAGAATTCATTGTTTATGTACCACACCCAGTGCTCCATGCAATACATGCCCTCTATAATACCCACCACCAGGCTCACCAAACCTCCCACCCAATGTGAATCATTTTTAATTGTAAATATAGACTTAACACACAAGCATGAAATTGTATTCTTATTCACCAACATGAGCACACTCCAAACAAATTAATTACAAGGGCAAATACAAAAATACATACAAATAGATGTACATACCCAAATAACAAACTACAAAGATTCACCTGCCACTTCCTGAGAACAAAGTCTCTGCATAAATATACTGGAAAATACAGCAAAATATCAATATAAAGGAACACAAATACACACACACACACACACACACAAACACACATACATATGCGTAAATACCAGAACACAAAGTGACATGTAGACATATAATATAGGTGCTTATGTACATATACATAAACACCTAGTTCAGTCAGAAATAACACAGACAGAAAACAAATGGTGATCTACAAAACATGAAAACTCAACAGTCACAATAAAATTGGGCTCAATACAATACTCATACTTTAAATAATGGGAAAAAAAAAAAGCCAGACCCTAAAGGGACTCCTACTGGCACTGAGTTTCTCATAAATTGAAAATGTAATAACACACAAAGGTTGGTGACTCCTATCCTAATCAGAATAAAGATTATTTGCTAAATGAGATCACTAACAGTGAACAGAGAAATATTCTGTAAAGTGAGCTAAATTCTTTTTACTTTAAAGGCCCTGCTAGAGATTTGCTGCTGCTCTAATTCACGACTTGGGGAAGCAAAACTAAAAAAGCTGTTGCTTGGTTCAGGTGCTGTGGGAGACCCCACAAAAAATGGTCTGAAGTGAAAATCTCCATCTCCACCACCCCGATTTCGAACTGGTGTACTGTCCAAAGGAAACTTGGAGTTGTTCCCTAGAAAAAAATAAGTGAAAAACTTAAACATCTATTTCTTCACAGATCTTTAGAAACAAAACACAATATTATTTAAGAAATTTTTTTATTTAATAAATATTTTAACAGAACTCAACTCCTATGAGACTGTAAAATATAAACCTAATTTTGGATAAAGAAAGGGCTATGATAGCTCCCACTCCCTCCATGACCACAGTATATACCATATCTTCTGCTGTGACACAGTTTCCAATAGCTATGACCTCATCACCCAAAGTAATTTGACACAATGAAATATGTTTTTAGTAATGCTAGAACTTATATTCATAATCTTATTCATTGTCTATGAAATCTACTTCAAGGGGATATTGTGTGTGTATAAAACCATTTGACCCAGTGCTTTAAGAATAATTTTTCTTTTAAAGATTGCCATAAACACTCTAAAAAAATATATGACAACTATGAACAATTGGCATATACTCATGATCCAAGATCAATTAGAATAACCTTAAGAAAAATCAGACAATAGATCTGATTAAATAAGCATTTAACAACTTTGACCGAGCCGTTCTCTGGCTTCTACAAGTTTTAAAGGGAACATGTAACTAACTAAAGGAAGAGTGTGGACTATATCTGCTTTAAGCCATCAACTGTAGCAAGAGGTGAAAGTAAAAAGTTAAGTGTGCATAAGATGTGGAACAGGAAAGAACTAGTAAATATGAAAGAAATTAAAATAAATGTGGATCATAATGAAAAAAAAATCTACAGTGTTAATATACAATAACACTTTGACTAAATTATAATTATGATTAACTGAAGGTTAAGCAAAAATTTATTTTTGTTTCAGTTCTTCTATCTGATAAACCTCATCTCATTACTTCCTGCCTTTTCTAGGATATCTCCTCCCCACTAAATCTTTTTCTTCAGCCTATAATTCAAAAAATGCATATTTAGGAAAGTCAAGTACAAGAAACCTCACTTTTTTATATGCCAAAACTAACTTACATTAATAGCATTACAAAAATCTATTGGATTCTGTTATATCAAGAGTAGTATAAAGAGAAGGACTAAGGAAGAGATATGATATTCATTGCATTTGCCAAAGCACCTAGAAAGCAAAAAAGTACTAGCATCTTCCTAGATTGTACACTTCCAGAAAGCAGGAATCCTATCTGGATAATTCTTATATCTCATTGCCTAGGATTATGTCTAGCAGCTTAGCACATGAAATATGTCTGATAAATATTTAGTAAATGAAAAAATATGAACCAAACAACCAACAAGTTAAGAACAGTGCACTCAGTATTGCCATGTGAAAGAAACCAAACATGGCCCTTTTGAGTGTGGGCTCTGAAGACAGTTCTGTGACCTTGACCAATTTACTTAAATTTTCTGTGCTCAGTTTTCTCATCTGTAAAATAAGGGTAATAATAATAATATTAATATAATAATAATATGATCTACATGAAGTTTTGAAAATAAGAGGAATACATGTACAACTATAACAGTGTCTAGTATTTGGTAAACAATCAATAAATAGCAGCTAATATTATTATTATTACTGCAAGGAAATACCTTTCCACTTAAAGTACCAATATGAAAACTTTTACTTTGGAGAGATTTTTTTCTCTGTTTACATTGAAGATGTAATTTAATCACAAGCAAATAAAATAGATAAAAGCAAAGATGCACATGTTGAGACATGGATGAAGAATCTGGAGCTTACCACCACTTTACGCCTTTGGAGTCTCCACTAACTTCCTGGAACTGTGCAGGACACAGTGTGAAAGATTTAAAGAACAGTTATTGGATATTACATGTTGCTTCTTACCTAACGGAAAGCCAAAAACACCAGACTGTGCAATCATGGATGGCTCAAGGGTACTTTCCTGGTTAGCAATAGTGATGTTTCTCAGCCTAAGGCTATCATAGAGGCCTTGGAGCTTTTGATACTGACGATTTCGCTCCATAAGTTTCTCAGATATGTCACTGAACTTTTTCTTATATTCTTCTAGCACTTTCTTCATAGAGGTGACCTCCCCCTTCATAGAGGTCAATTCTACATCCTTGCTCTGTATTTGCTGAGTATATATCTTCTCCATCTGTTTCAGATGGCCCTCAGCCTTGCTGAAATTATATTCTTGATAGAGACGCTCCTGATGTACCTGTCCCAAGACAGGAAAAAAAAGACTTTTAAAGTAATAAATATAGTTATATATTGTAAAACTTTAAATGTAAAAGAAAAAGAAAGACTTACACTGGGATGTTATTAATTTAACATTTAGAACCAGGTTAAGAAGGAATCCAGATGTACAATAGGATGGTTATTATAGTAAATAATACACTGTGTCACTAAATGCATAGGAAAAAATTCTGAAGGAATACTCTCAAACTACTACAAATATACTAACAAAAAAAAAAAGGATTTGTCTAACCTTAACAAGTGACATGTAGTCTTAAGGTTTTTAAGAAAAAATTTCATATCTCAAGTAATCCATACTACAGAGAGCAGATTATAAAATTAACCCTGCCTCCTTGTACTTAGATCCTCTTTTTGAATGTGGATAGAAACTATGACTGGAATACAGGAAAAATAACAGGATGAACACACTACATAAGACTATAAAGTCTGCCTTAGCACATTCTCTCTCTTGGCTGGCTTTGTAGAAGCAAGTAGCCATATTACAAAGGGCAACAAGCCAAGTTACTGAGAGCACTTTTTGGGCAATAGCCAGCAAAATACTGAGGTCACACTGAATCTAAACATAGACTGTACAACCTTCACAAAAATTGACTCAATACGAATCAAGACCTAAATGTAAACACAAAACTGTAAAATTGCAATATGATAACAGAGGAGAAAATCTAAATGATCTTGGGTTTGATGGTGACTTTTTAGATGCAACACCAGCAAGCACAATCTACAAAAGAAAAAATTGATAAGCTAGACTTCATTAAAATTAAAAATTTCTGTTCTGCAAAAGACAATGTCAAGAGAGTGAAAAGACAAGCCACAGACTAAGAGAAAATATTTGTAAAAGACATTATCTCATAAAAGACTGTATACCCAAAACATACAAAGAACTTTTAGAACTCAACAGTAAAAAGGCCAACTTAAAAATCAAACTAATAAAAGATAACTGAAAAAAGAAAATTTCTGTAACATCTGAGTTAGATATATAGAGAATTCTTATCAATAAGAAAAAACCTATAGCAATTGAAATAAGCAAACTGAAACAGGCAATTCATAAAAGAAAAATTCATGAAAAAAATACAAGAAAATGTTTTCATCTAAAAGTCATCCAAGAAAGGCATATTAAAAGATTAACAAGATTCTACTTTACTCATACTAATTGGTGAGTAGAAAGTATGGAGAATCAAGTACCATCATACACTTAAGGGAACACAAAATAATATGGCCTAACTGGAGGGCAATTTTAAAATACTGCAATTTGGGGAATGCCTGGCTGGCTCACAGCATGCTATCTTGATCTTAGAGTTGTGAGTTCAAGTCCCACATTGAGTATAGAGAGCACTTAAAAATGAAATCTTTAAAAAATAAAAAATAAATAAAATACTGCAACTTTTAATTTTTTTTTTTAATCTTTTTTTAAGGGTGCCTGGGTGGCTCAGTGGGTTAAGCCTCTGCCTTCGGCTCAGGTCATGATCCTAGAGTCCTGGGATCAAGTCCCGCATCAGGCTCTCTGCTCGGCAGGGAGCCTGCTTCCTTCCTCTCTCTCTCTCTGCCTATTTATGATCTCTCTGTCAGATAAATAAATAAAATCTTTAAAAAAATCTTCTGTTAAGATTTTATTTGTTTCTCAGAGAGAAAGAAAGAGAGCACAAGCAGGGGAAACAGTAGAGGCAGAGAGAGAAGCAGGGTCCTCGCTGAGCAAGGAACCCGATGGGACTCATCCCAGGACTCTGGGATCATGACCTGAACCTAAGGCAGACGCTTAACCGACTGAGCCACATAGGTGTCCCCAATTATTTACTTATTTATTTATTTATTTATTTATTTAGGAGAGAGAGAGAGGAGCATACAGGGGAGGGACAGAGGAAGAGAGAGAATCTTAAGCAGGCTCCACACTCAGCTTGGAGCCCAACTTGGGACTTGATCTCACGATCCTGAGATCATGACCTGAGCTGAAATCAAGAGTTGGATGCTTAACCAACTGAGCCACCAGGCATCTCAAAATACTGCAATTTTTACAACTTTGAAATGTATTCATCCACTTTCAGGAATTTAAATTAGCAAAAAATTAAATGTGGAATTTGATGATAAGAAAGCTCATCACCACTTTTTTTATAGTATGAAAATAAATTATGATGCAATACAACTATTAAAATTATAATTATAGGATAGCTAACTTTAAAATACTTAATAAAATATTCATAAGCATAATGTCAGCTTTAACTGATATTACCCTTACTTTTAGACAAAATACATATTTATACACAGAAAAAGTCCAGCAATACACAAACAAATATATCACAGTGATCTCTGAGTGATGGATTATGGTTCATTTTTTTTCTTTCTTTTGGATTTCCAAAAATTAACCTATTACTTAAAAAAAAATTTATTAGGGTTCCTGGGTGGCTCAGTCAGTTGAGCATCTGCCTTTGGTTCAGGTCATGATCCTAGGGTCCTAGGGTCCTAGGATCCAATCCCAAATCAGGTTCCCTGCTTGGAGGGGAGTCTGCTTCTCCCTCTGCCCCTCCCTGATGCTTGTGCGCAAGCCCTCTCTCTCTCTCTCTCTCTCACGCGCGCGCTCTCTCTCTCTCTCACTCTTTTATACTCTCTCAAATAAATAATTTTTTTAAAAAATTATTTAAAAGAATGTTTTCTATATATTCATAAAAAATGAGGGATGCCTCGGAGGCTCATTCGGTTAACCATCTGCCTTTGGCTCAGGTCATGATCCCAGGGTCCTGGGATTGAGTCCCCCATCAAGCTCCTTGCTCAGAGAGGAACCAACTTCTCCCTCTGTCTGCCGACCCCCTGCTTGGGCCCTCTAACAAATAAAAAAATAAAATAAAATAAGATCTTTAAAAAAAAATGAATACAAACACAATGAAGGAGAAATATTAGAAACTTCCACATGTGCCTCAAATCACACTCTCCAGAAAAACAAACCTAAGCACTAACCTGATATGTCCAGAAGGCCAGTGCACGGGAGCTAATGTCCAACACAATTTCCGGTCGAAGTCCTGCCAATACCATGGCTTTGTATTCCTCTGATGGACTGAGTTCTGTGCGGACAATGTCTAGCTTTCCAGAAAGGGTACTATTGCAGGCAGGGCAGATAGCTGGTGAACGACTAAACTCACCACTGCCATGCTGATCACAGAAGATGTGAGAGCAGGCAGTGACCCATGCATAACCAGAGAGTTTGAGGCGACACTTGCGATAGTTACAAAGCAGCATGTCTTCACACAAAGACATAATAGAGAGTCAAGTCTCCAGATGCTGAAAAGAATCCTAATAAGAGGTAAATGAAAATGTGAAATAAGTCAAATTTCAATGAAATGAAATAGAGCATGTTTTCATTTTATTATGATAAAATAATGTATTTTGTTTGCATTTATTATAATCAATATATTGATTTCAGTCACTTGACAATATTAACTGTGCTCCTTTATATAAACCTCTAGAAAGCCCATGAAAAAAAAATTTAAAGAAAAAGTTAAAGACACAAGTGATCCAAATCTTACTAAAACCAAAAATAATATGCACATGGAAAATAAAGTTTAGGAATATTTACAAACTACAAATAAATTTAAACAGTGCCTTTTGCCATTCCTCAATGCTTAAACAAAAAAGCTAAATTTATACCCATCCATAGTTTGCCAGAATATTTCAGTACCACTTCTCACGCTTGGCAGATATAAGTCCAGGCACCAATTTCAGCCACTCTTTAGGAAAAAGTGTTTTTTAAGTTACAGTTTTAGGTTTTTCATATACACTGATTTCTCAGATTCTTTACCTGTGTTGCCTTACCTAAAAAAGAGTAATAATATGATAGTATTAAATGGAAAATAATTTAATTCGTTCCAGCAAATGACCATTATGAAAACTGAAAATCTGAACAAAAGCTGTTTACCATCAAGTAAATTCACCTATTAATATAAATACTATTGAATGCTATACTCTCAGTAAAGAAGTTTGTGAAACTAGGGTGCCTGGATGGCTCAGTTGGTTAAGCAACTGCCTTTGGCTCAGGTCATGATCTTGGAGTCCCAGAATCGAGTCCCGCATCAGGCTACCTGCTTGGCAGAGGGCCTGTTCCTCTCCCTGACCTCTCTGCTCTCTTGTGCTCTCTCCCTCTCCAATAAATAAATAAAACCTAAAAAAAAAAAAAAAAAGTTTGTAAAACTAAATAAATACTCATAAATAAATAAATACTCTTCTGTTATTTTTCAATACAGTGTCCACTCTCACTGGTTTTACTAATCCAAACTGGACAGCAATATTCTAGATATACCAAAATCATATATTGTATGAGATAACTTTGACACACCAATTACACACCAAGGAAAACATTCATATTTAACACATTTATTAACCGACAAATTCTGTCAAGAATGTTGCCTTGAGGGGCGCCTGGGTGGCTCAGTGGGTTAAAGCCTCTGCCTTCAGCTCAGGTCAGGATCCCAGAATCCTGGGATCGAGCCCCGCGTCGGGCTCTCTGCTCAGCGGGGAGCCTGCTTCCTCCTCCTCTCTCTCTCTCTCTCTCTCTCTCTCTGCCTGCCTCTCTGCCTACTTGTGATCTCTGTCTGTCAAATAAACAAATAAAATCCTTAAAAAAAAAAAAAAATCTTAAAAAAAAAAAAAAAGAATGTTGCCTTGATCCAAAGGGGGGAAAAAAAATGTTGCGTTGGTCACATGGGTCGATGAGGGCACTCTGACACCTTTACCCCTAAGTACCCACTGCGTTAGTCTCCAATGATAAATGGCACCTTGCAGCGGGAATTATGAGGCCTATTTTACCTCCAGCAGGATAACAGGCACAGGGGAAGCAGAAGAGCTGGGAAGTTTTAAAGCTGAGAGCTTTCTCAGGCAGAGCGGAAGGTGCGGCTAATTCCAAATTTTCCCCGACTTGGGGAAAAGCCAATTCGGTAAATTTTAAGTTACTGAAGACCAAGTTTTTAAGAATTGGGCTCACGGAAAGTTCACTTGAGTTCTTTCTGCTTTCTGCACTCTACAGAGAAAATAATAACAATAATAATACAAATAATATATCCAACCTGAGGGGCCCAGAAAAAGCGCGGGAAAACGCCGTCGCCTCCACAACTCTAGCACTACACGAGCGAGGATTCGCGATACCTCTCCAGTACGACACAGAACGCATGCGTGGGGTGGCCCTGGAGCCCGCTGGGTGGTGGGCACAGGGCTTCCGGCCGCGCAGGATCCTGGGACCGTCAGGCTGTGGCACCTGGATTCAGGCACATATCCCCACGCACGCGCGTCTCAGGCGCTGTGAGGGCATGAATCCCAGAGCATGGTCCGGGTTTCCCCCATGGGAGCCCTGTGGATAGGTCATGGAGTACCCTTTACTGCCCTCAACTGGCACAAAAAGTAACATCCTAGGCTATCCTGGGTATAACATTTGAGGTCAGAGGCTCTTGAGTAAGAGCAGGACAGGGACAGCTGGGAAGCTAACAGGGCTAGCTTGTGCGCCTGAGTATACGCGGGTGTTTGTCCTGGGAGCTCTTGGGGAGGACCGGCTGGGCAGCACAGACTTGCTAAGTTGTTTAAAGGAAAAGTCCCAGAAATTTGAGATACCTGTACTTGGATAGTTATCACCTCCATGTTGAGGTAGATTCTGCCGTTTTATTTTTTAATCCATTTTGATAAAGACATCTTTCTAGCTTTTACACATCCTCTATACACATTTAAAGAAAATGGAACTTTTCCTTCGTTTAGAATCTGTATTAGGAGCATTCATTACAGCGCCTGTAACGAAGCGAGAGGATCAGGTGTCAGCTTTTTTAAGGTGATCTGCCTGCCTTTTTTGAGGTGTCCGCTTTTCTGAGGTGCTCTCCTGGACCTACTTGTAATTGTTTAAATGTTTGTGCTTGTTTTACCCCAATGCTATTACCTGTCACTTTCTTTTCTGTTCTTTGTAAACTGTGTGATTTTCTGCTCAATCTATAGGAGTTCATTATAATCCATATTAAAACTAAACTGAGAAGGGCTTGAGGGGTTCTCAGAATACAAGCCTTAATGCTGTCTTTTGTGGCCAGCCACCTGTCCAGATGATGTGACCCCACTGTGAATTAGTAAAACACAATCCAATGAATCAGCAACACAATGGATACCAAAGCCCTGCAAACCTCTTTCTGGGTAGTGAATTTCTAACCCATTCTTCTTCAAACAAAAACCTATCCTAATTAAACAATTTTCTGCTAGTTTTCGGTCTACTTACCGCTTGTTCACAGTAATTAGAAAAGGTCATCTTGACCTCTGCATACATTTCCTAAAATGTCTTGAAAGTTTAGAGTGGTAACTTAATTCCAGTGGTACAAATTGGATACAAACAAAATTGGGGTTTCATGTGTAAACTCCTCACATCTATTTTGGCTATCTGAGCCTTTTGTGCATTTTCTGATTTTTAACAATGCCAAATGTAGTACAAACAAAAGAGTACAATCTCAAAGTTAGAAAACATAAAGCATTCAAATTCAGCCAGAACCTAATTTTGTGATCTAACTTACCTTTGTACTGCAATATGATCTCTTCTACTTCTTCATTAAGACAACTGATTCCCCAAACCTTAGTGTTCCCCACACAATTTTCCCACTAACTCAGTTACAAATTTCTAACCCATTTGGCCAGAAGTTTGTAGGAGTAACATATATATGTGTGTGTAGTATGTACATGTTATGTATGTATATATACTTTTTTTTTTTTTGCCAACATGTTTTGACAGAATAAATGGAGGCAGGGTGCTACAAAGTCTTAATATTGCAGTAATCTGGAACACCAGGACCTGAACTAGCCTGCTTCTCAGTGGCACTGTGTACTCTTCTGTTATGGCATAGACAAACCCTTCATTGGCTCTTTTCTAGAGGGCTCCTGGGGATGATACTACTGAACTCAATCAAGGCTGAAATACAAAGACCCAACCACCAAAAAGAGCTTTTTAAAAAATTTTTATTTTTTATTATTAAATATTAAGCATACAAAAAATGTGTGAAGAATGAACATCACTCAGCTTTAATAAAATGAAATCTTTCTCACATTTTATATTATTCCTCACATAGATTGTTTTGGTAGCCATTCTTCATTGACTCAATGGATCAGGCATCATAATTAGGTATCAAGAGTTTAATTTTTTTTAAGATTTTATTTTTTAAATAATCTTTATACCCAAGGTGGGGCTTAAACTCACAACCCCAAGATCAAGAGTCGTAGGCTTTACCAACTGAGCCATCAAGGCTCCCCAAATACTGTTTTAAGTAGACTCCGTGGTACTCAGATAGTTTAATGTACCTATATATACAATTTCAATCAGAGTCAGAGTGAAAATTGAAGTCCCAATTATTACATATAAATAAATATCTTGCTGAAATGCCATTAAAATGGTTGCCATTTTCCAGGGACTTAAAAAAAATTTTGCGGGGCGCCTGGGTGGCTCAGTGGGTTAAAGCCTCTGCCTTCCGCTTGGGTCATGATCCCGGGGTCCTGGAATCGAGCCCCACATCAGGCTCTCTGCTCCATGGAGGGCCTGCTTCCTCCTCTCTCTCTGCCTGCCTCCCTGCCTGCTTGTGATCTCTCTCTCTGTCAAATGAATAAATAAAATCTTAAAAAAAAAAAAAAATTTGTGATGCCTGGGGAGTTCAGCTGGTTAATAAGCAGCTGCCTTCGGTTCAGGTCATGATCCCAGGGTCCTGGAATCAAGTCCTACATCGGGCTTCTTGCTTGGCAGGGAGCCTGCTTCTCCCTCTGCCTGCTCTGCCTGCCACTCCCCCTGCTTGTGCTCTCTCCCTCTCTCTGAGAATTAAATAAATAAGTAAAAATCTAAAAAAAAAAAAAAATTAATGGAGGTTTCAAATCACTTCATGTATTTTTCAGTATCTACTCTGGGCCAGGCATTACAGATAAGGAAGCTTTCCCACTTTCATGGAGTTTATAATCTAGCAAAGAATCTAAGAATGATAAAAGCAAGTATTTTACTCTTTCCTTTGGTGTCTCTTACATTTTTGCAAGTTGATTCTATACGCCATTTCTGGTGAGAAAAGTCACGTTCCATCTTTAATTTGAAAATCATCTACCTTCATGCTGGAAAGAAAAAGACATTTTTAATGCTAACCTGAAATATATAAACAGCTACTCAGTAGAAAACTGATCAGTAGAAACTCATCAGTAGAAAACTAATTAAACCACCTAAAATTTAATGATTTCAGAGCATAATGTTTCAGTAACTCTCAGAATCAATTTACTAGACCTTTTTCTTTCATAGTCCTAGGTCAGTGCTATTCAAACACTTTTGTAGTCAAAGGGATTTCTAAAAACTACATCCTCATGTTTTCATATTAGTTTTATTTTTCAATCACAGGTACACTCTTAATCTATCACTAGCTGCTTTGTAATTGTTTGACTCCGCAAAAATCAGAAGACACTAATGGATGGCCAATGCATCCCCATGGTGCCCTGAGTGAAGACAAGTCAGCTTTGATATATGATGGAATAAAATCTCACTACCAAAAGCTCCAAGCAGTGAGAGGAACAGCCATCAAAATTTATCTCCAACCATTTTTATAAATGCTTTAAGGAACATTTATAAAAATAAAGCTATCAAGTCGCTCTTAATAGGAATCACTACGTCTAAATTTTTAGGTCAACTAAGAGCTAGAAGAGCCAGCTAGATAGACAAAATGAGGAATAAGATGATAAATAAATTGGTACCAAACCAAGATCAATCAACTAAAGAAAATGTTACTGGGACAGTTATATAGAGATATACCCTATAGTTCTTATCACTATACTTTGCCTAATTCTAGAATTCAATTGAGTTTTGTGTGCTGGAGATAAACATAATGAGGTATAGACCAACTGGCAGAAAGATGCATATAAGCAAAAACTGCACAGGACTTTGAAGATAAAACAGCTAACATTTTTGAGTGATTACCATATGCTTAAACAATGTTCTAAGCCCATGCATTTATTATGTAATCTTCAAAGTCAAGTACTATTCTTCTGAATCCAGTACTATTATTCTCATCTTCTAAGATACAAGGGTACTAAGACCCAGAGATGTTAAGAAACTTGCCAAGTTTACATAACTGATTACGTGAGAAAAGATGGGTCTGAACCCTGTCTGACTCCAGAAACCATGTGTAACTATTATATTATGCTACCTCTTAACATCCTTAATTGACTTTTTTAAAAAACAAAATTTTCTGTAGCAACTTAGCAGCTGGCCATGAAGTCATAAAGCTGAATTTTCAAAGATTCATATATATGTCAAAGTTTCTTGATTTCAGGTAAGCCTTACCATAACAGAAAAATGTTGTCATCATCTATTGTATATCCAGGACTTAGAGCACCCAAGAATTCCAGCCTGGGAAAAGAAGTGAGACTCAGATCTAGTTTCAGTCTCCTGAAACTTCATTTCTGCAAAAGACATAGCCAAAACTAAAACTACTTCAAGTGCTGATGTTACTTTGAATTATTAGCATTTCCTGTATTTCTGCCTCATATGTACCCCATTCTCTGCCAAAACATGCAGGCACAGGTAAAGGATAGAAGCCTGTTCTGTATAGGTTCAATTATACAATACCTGAATATAGTAAAGTCAGAAAATACAAGTTAACAAGATCACCCTTAGAATAAAATTCTATAGGAGACAATAACCCCTGGTATTTGAATATATCCTTTCAGATAATTTCTGAAGTAAACATAAGTATATGAAAATGTTTAAGCATGAGTGCCTGGGTGGTTCAGTGGGTTAGGCCTCTCTGCCTTCAGCTCGGGTCATGATCTCAGGGTCCGAGGACCCAACCCTGCATTGGGCTCTCTGCTCAGCAGAGAGCCTGCTTCCCCCTCCCTCTCTCTCTGGCTGCCTCTCTGCCTACTGGTGATCTCTATCTGTCAAATAAATAAAATTTTAAAATCTTAAAAAAAAAAAAAGAAAATGTTTAAGCATAAAAAGGGTTACACATACTGCTCTATAACTTGTTATTAATGTATCATGAATACCCTTCCATTTCAAGAAAGATAAACCTCTATCATAACTTTTAAATGTCCATATAGTGTCACATTTTATGATCTTGGCAAAATTGACTTAACCAACTCTGGGATTCTCTTAATCTTTTTTTTTTAACATATAATGTATCATTTGAGATTCTCTCAATCTTACATATAAATTAATAAAGTAGTGATGTTTAAAACTGCTGAGTAAAATGGTTGACAGAATTATACCAGTTATCAGTGTTTTTTCTGTAGTGTTTGAATGTTTAGATTAGGGATTCTTGACCCTAGTTCTGCCTATCTCAAGAAGATACCACAAAAGATCAAAGCACAACAAAGTGTTGTAGTGTCAGATCTGTAATTCAAAGATTTAAGAACTACCTGGGACTGGAGGCTAGAATCCAGTAAGAATTCCAAGAAGCAGAATTCAACTCCAGGTATTTGCCCTAGCTTTAGTCTCTCAGAGCATGTGTTTAATCAGGGTGATCAGCTGAAACACGGACTTAACATGCATTTCATCATGGCAAACTGTAAATGACTGATGAAGGGCGAACCACCACCAGCTCCTCATCTTTAAACCAAGCAAACCCTCTTAACGTAAGAACTAAGGCTTTTTCAAACTACCAAATTCTAGCTACTAAGAACACGGGGCCCCAAAACTTAGGAGGTGATTAAAAATCCAAACAAAGTAAAAATAGTTTTCTTTTACACTTACCTCTGGTATCAAAAGAAACAGCTTCTATCTAGGAATTAGTTGAACTACACGATCTACCAACTACCTGAATACCAACTTTCCGGATGTATCATCTCTGGAAAATAAAAAGTAAGCAAGTAAATAAATAAAAGTTATGATTACATGACTTGAATGCACACCAGCCTACTCCCAAGTCATACCCCTATAGCCTCAAGGAAAACTTCATTCTATATATTAACTTCTGGTCAGTAATATAAATTGACCCATCTATTCAGAGAACATCATGAAATGCCCAATCTCAGTATCACATTAGGGCAGGACTCTTACACAAGCTCAACTTTTGTATGAATTTAAAGTTTTGGGACACCTGGGTGGCTCAGTTGGTTAAGCGTCTGCCTTCGGCTCAGGTCATAATCCCACAGTCCTGGGATAGAGTCCCACATCAGGCTCCTTGCTCAACGAGGAGCCTGCTTCTCCCTCTGCCTGCCTCTCCATGTTCTTGTCCTCTGTCTCTGACAAATAAATAAAATCTTTAAAAAAAAAAAAAGTTTGGGGGCACCTGGATGGCTCAGCCAGTTAGATGTCTGCCTCCAGCTCAGGTCGTGATCCCTGGGTCCTGAGATTGAGCCCACATTGGGCTCACTGCCCAGTGGGGAGTTTGCTTCTCCCTCTCCCTGCATCCCCTCACCCCTGCTTGTGTTCTCTCTCTCTCTCTTAAATGAATAAATAAAATCTTTTTAAAAATTGATTAACTGATTAATTTAAAAGTGTGGGTAAAACAGTACAATAAGACTAACCACACTCTGAAAGGATATAAGTCAACAGTCTCACAATAAGAGAACAGGTATGGAAAAGGAAGGAGCTGTGTGCTGGCTGCTACCAGAGCTTGACAGCCCTGGGGAAAATTCAGCAATATGGGGCATAAAAGGCATGGGATACTGCAACCTCTCCAAGTCCATACGGTGTGTAACTACAGAAAACCCTTGTAACCAGTCACTAAATTCACAAAATCCTAAAAACAAAACAAACAAACAAACAAAAAAGGTAACTCATAAGATAAATAAGAAGGTAATCTGAGGCTCCTGCTGGCTCAGTTGGTAGAACATGAAACTCTACCTCAAGGTTTTGAGTTCAAGCACCACTTTGGGGGTACAGTCTACTTTTTTAAAAATGAGAAAGTAATCCAAAATAGTTAACATTCTTTTTAAAAGCATGTTTCAATTTCATTTCATCCAACGTTGGTTGTATTTAACATTTACTCTTGGTAAAAATTAATCACAATAAAGAAAACCTTCCTCTGACAAAGCAAAATTGTAGCATCATTCAGAGCCCAGCGTGGCCACAAGATGGCAATATAAGAAAAAGTATAATTTCCTCTTCCAACATTTGGTGTAATCTAACTTCTAGGTGAAACAGGCCGAACACAAAATTCATCGCTGCAGGCAACCTTCAGACTATTCCACGTTCACCAGATTACTAACTAGAAAGTTTCTTATATTGCATTTAATGATAATTTAAAACTTACTACTGAAAATATTGCTATTATATTTTTACCATGTTCCTCTTCATGCATCAATGTAAAGATTTAAAAATCTATAACCTCAGATATAATCTAGATAGAAAGACAAGATTCATGAATATTAGTGTCCATGGGGGACACCAAATAAGCAGTAGAGCAAGCAACGCTAAGAATAAGAACCACTGGTCACAGATGTCTTCATGAAGAAAAAAGGTACAGGTCTTGAATGAGCCTTAAAATTGTACTTAAAATAATACCGTATTGTATAGTTTAAAGTTGCTAAGAGAGATCTTAGAAGTTCTCATCACAAGAAAAAAAAATTGCACTGTCCTATAGCTAACACCACATTCATTCGTTAAAATTAAAATTAAGTTAAAAACTAACTTCCTGGGGCGCCTGGGTGGCTCAGTGGGTTAAAGCCTCTGCCTTCGGCTTGGGTCGTGATCCCAGGGTCCTGGGATTGAGCTCCACATTGGGCTCTCTGCTCAGCAGGAAGCCTGCTTCCTCCTTTCTCTCTGCCTACTTGTGGTCTCTATCTGTCAAATAAATAAATAAAGTCTTTAAAAAAAAAACTAACTTCCTCAGTCAGGCACATTGTAATTGCTCAATCAGTAGTCACATGTGGCTAATGGCCACGATATTGAACAATATAGAACATTTCCCACAGTAGTCACAATGGCCACGATATAGAACAATATAGATTACACAAAGTTCTGTGGGACAACAGTGCCTTAAAGGATGAGTATAACTAAAATATACTGACAGAAAGGAAACAGTAGCTATCATTCTTAAAAATTCCTACTTTCGGGACGCCTGGGTGGCTCAGTTGGTTAAGCGGCTGCCTTCGGCTCAGGTCATGATCCCAGTATCCTGGGATCGAGTCCCACATCGGGCTCCTTGCTCGGCAGGGAACCTGCTTCTCTCTCTGCCTCTGCCTGTGCTCGCTCGCTCTCTCCCTCTGTCCCTGACAAATAAATTAAAAAAAAAAAAAATCTTAAAAAAAAAAAATTCCTACTTTCTATCAAGAACTGTACAAATCACTTCACTCAAACTTTACAATCTTGTATTTACACGGAAATTTGAGGCTCAGAGGAGTTAAATAAATTTTCTAAGGTCACCCAGCTATTAAGAGCTAGGACTTAAATCCAGTTCTGTCAATACTCCCAATTTTCACTTCACCATACCACTTCCTACACGAAATAAGAAGCAGAGCTACAGAAGACGGTTTGCTTTGGCATATATCGAGAATGCTCTAGAGGCTCAGTAGGTCAGAAAGAGACTGAGGTGTTTTAAGTACCTGAGATATGCGATCAAAGTGTTATTTTAACTCCTGTCCTAGAGTTGAATACTGTTTTAATTATGTAAAATGTTTTTAGAGGAGCAGCATATTAGATTAACCAAGGGAACAGAGACAGGAAATAAGCATTGACGTGCAAGGTTTCTAAAGCTTTAACACTGTCTCCCTCAAAACCCCATGATCCAAGTATTCCCTACCAGAGAATAACTATATATATACCTAAAGGAGCAACTTCTCTATTCTCACAAACCTAGATTGTAACAGTTCTGGTCTCTGTATCCTTGGCACATAACCTAAAGTTTAGGACATAAATCCTGATGTTAAACACATGACCCCTCTCCTAGGGCGAGATGCTCCCTGAAGGATTCTAGCTATGCTTCAGCAAATTTCACTGTACCATGTGAAGTCCACTTCATATTTACTGAGCATTTAGGGAGCTTAAGCAAATATTTTGTAAATACCTCATGAACTATCAATGACCCGCTCATTCTGTTCCCTGTGAGAAGTAAATGCTACCAAGTGCTGGTGCTCATGGCCAAAAGGTACATTTTACATTATGTGAACAGATGCTTCATGAAGACCTGATACAAACTCCAAATTGATCATACCAAATCATTTGATGCTTCTGCTTTAAGATTACTACCACTGCTCAGTTTTACCCTGTTCCATGCCAATTACTCAGTGCCCACTCTGTGTCTAGCATTATAGGATACAACAGGAATTTAAAGAACCTATTCTTTTTTAGATAGAAAAGACACATAGACATGGGTGAGACAGAGAGAAAACTTAAAGGTCTATCTTAGTCAAAGTTCAAGTACTTGCTTTATGATCCCATCAGCCTTTAACCATTCCTACTGATAATGTCCAAATCCAAGCCCACTTGATCGTTAGGGCATCTATAGCAGATGTTACCGATGCTTTCACAGTGCCACTTCCGGACTGACACCCAAGGGTCTGAAGACCCAGGCCTTCCTTCCTGCATGGATTCTGTCTTCAACCTGAAACAAAAGGAAAACAACACAAAACTTCATCTAGGAAGTAAATGTGAACCTGTCACTTGTCATGGCTCTCTTTCAGGGATAGCTCTGTAAGACGCTGCTATCAGAACAGATTCCAAGTTTTGTTTCCCACTCACTGTCAGCTACTTTAGAAATAGTGATTGTTTTAACCTCTCAGAGCATATAGAAAATAAAAGTGGGGAGTCCTTTATTGCTCAATCAAGACATTTATGGTGTTGGTTGGTTTCTAGTCATCACTGTGTACAAAATAAATATAAGTAACAGGAAACACTGCATGTTTAGTCCTTATAAATATATCAAAACCCACCTGAATGTAATATGTAACAAATGACCCATACACACATATGTTGGGGGAAAACAGCAAGATTGTAAACTACCTAAATGTTGACCAATAAAGGTTAAATAAATTACGTTATGCACATACATTAGATTACTGTATAACCATTATAAAGAATGTGGATGGGTCCACCTGGATGGCTTATTCTGTTAAGCCTCTGCCTTTGGCTAAGCTCATGATCCCAGGGTCCTGAGATCAAGCCCTGCATCAGGCTGTCTGCTCTGTGGGGAGCCTACTTCTCTCTCTCCTGCTCCCGCTCCTGCTCCCGCTCTTGCTCCCGCTCCCTGTGCTTGTGCTCTCTCTCCATCAAATAAATAAAATCTTTACCAAAAAAAAAAAAGAATATGGATATTCTTTATTTACTCATTTGGAAATCCTAAGTGGGAAAAGGTAGATAACTGGTAGAGAATGTAAAGAAGACGGGAGGGTAAATTACATGTATTTGCTTATACTTACATAAAATATCTCACAAAGGATACAAAAGAAACTGTTAATGCTATTACTGGGGAGGAGAATTAGGTGGCCTAGGAGACTTCGTGATACATTCTTTGATCCCTTTTTAATTTTGAACCATGTGAATTTATTATTTTCAAAAAATAGCATAACAATAAAACTTGAGAATTATAAGGATTATGAGAAGGCTACAACCATCTATTACCACATTCCATTCCACATTATTTCTTTCACATCTTGTGCCTGGAAGAATAATGAACACCTACATTATATTCAAACTGATGTAGATCAAGGAGGAAAATGGGAATCCATTTACACTGAAGGTCACTAGGCAAAATGTTTTTATAAGAAGAAAGATATCCAAAATAAATGTAGTGTTTACTTCTAGAAGGTATCTTACATTTATTATAATACCGGCCTTCCTACATTTTGATTTTCCAAAGGGGAGCCTCATCATGGTTCACTGACTCACCCAAGGTCCCTGGAGAAGTAACCTGTGGCGCTAGTATTTGATAGGCTTGTCCTGAGCTAAGACCCCTGATTTTTCTTTAGTGTATCTTTTTAGGGTACCCTCACTACAGTGGCCACATTAAAATTGGGAGCTCCGCTTAGGGCTCACTAAAGTCATCAACTTCAGAGGTTGCTGCCTAGGCTCACTAAGAAAGATGGAACGCTCTGAGCAAAGACCAGGGCAAAGACAATGTTTGCTACAGCTCCCTCAATCCCAGCAAGGACCTGGGCCCTGCAGACACACGAGAGTTATAGTGTATTAGTCTGAAACTCCTCCCAAGATCTACCCTCTCACCCCAAGAGATGTAAGTCGAACAGCGCGTTGGGATAACAATACCTTTCCCTCCAAGCAAAATGAATCCAGGCGTTTTCCAAGAACACAGGCCCTCGGATACATGAAGCAGAGTCTATTGTTTCTGGGTCACCAGGTCTCGGGGAAAGAAGGCAGACCCAGTGCTGCAGAGGGCCACGTGGAAACAAGACAGCATCTCCCTGCCTTCCCCCAATCTCCACACTGCTGAATTAATGCCCTTGTGACTCACACATAGTCCAACACTTGCTTGAAATAAAGGCCTGCCATCAGGATACAAGGTTCAAATGGAAGAGAAATTCAAAACAGTTAGGGAGCAAAATTAAGTGCACACTCACCAGCCCACCACCAAAACTGAGAGAGTAAGTGGAGAGACAGGAAGCAGTTTTCAGAAGTGGCCTCAGAGTCTGATTGGCTGATAAATTAAAAGCAGTTTCCCTCCTCCTTTACCTTTAAGGGTGTGGGAATGAGGCAACCCCTTCCTTCACCTATTTGTCTCTTATGGAACAGTGATGCTACTTGCCCTGTTTTTGATTGAATTTTATTTAAACCAAGTTGCCTTTTGAGGTAATGTACTTAACACAAGCAAACACAGGCTAATTCAAGCTGTATATACTCATTCTTGCTTAGATGGCCCTACTGTAAACAATGTTCATTCCTTCAGGATCATTTCCTAAATTTTCTGACCTTAAAATGGTTAATTTATGCAAGGTAATGGGTTTCATCATAAACAGTCTAGATCCATTTAAGTTAGAACTTACCTTCAGGGTAATGTTCCAGTTAAGGAGCCTAGTGAACAAAAGATGGATGTGGTTAAGGGTTTAGGTTTTGAAGTAAAATTTAGCTGTACAAACCTTACTAAACTAACCCTTATCTTCTTAGCATTTTTGGCCAGTTACTACCACTAGTTCAAACTCCTTTGTCTTTTCTCAATTCTTCACAAATTTACTGTTTCTTAGTCTAAAAGTATAAACTCTTCCTGCCCTGGTCACTTCTTCTGGTCTTCATTCTCTTGTGAAAGCTCCTGTGTAAGTTAAAAATTCAATAAAATTTGTCTTTTTTTTTTCCCTGTTAATCTCTCTGTAAGGTTAATTTTCAGACCCTGCCAGGGACCCTAAGAAGGTTCCCTTAGAGTAGCAAATGAAAATCTCTATTTCAAAAAAAAAAAAAGAAAGAAAGAAAGAAAGAAAGAGTAAAAGTAAAAGAAAATCTCTATTTCAAGGTGCTGCACAGGGATATTTTAGGACATTTCACGTAAGTTGTGATAGTTTGCAAGATACTTCCTAGTTGCATGATCTGGAATAAATTTCTTAAACTCTCTGAGACTCAATTTTCTCCCCTGCACCATGGGGGAGAGTAATACCTACCACCCTAACATAGATAGAAATGTGGGAGAGTCTAGCATAATGACTGGTCATGGTACATGCTCAATTCATGTTCTCCTTTCTTCCTTGCTCATTCTCATTCTTATACAGAGAGGAGATGAAAAAGTAACTGCTTGTGAGTTTACTTATACACTTCTATTTGTCTACACATTATACAATTCTTTCTAGATACAAGTAAATCAATGGAAGTTAGTTTTTGCTCCTAAATGTTGTGATTACAGACCTATACTTGCCCATAATTTCCTGCTTCTTAACAGTGGGCAAGGTTACATTGCAGATTTTCTTCTTCTCCAGTAACATATATGAATGGATCATTTTGGAACCCCAGAAAGATGAGTATAGGGCTCTCTGAAATCATTGTGGGAAAAACTACTTTAGTAAAGGGCTTTGGAATACCAAGATGATGTACAAAGGCAGAGAGGTACAGATCCTGTACGTTTTAAGGGTTAAAAAGGAGAGGTGGCCCAATCTCTAAAGTGGGTTCCTGGAGAGGGGAATGAAGAAAGAATCTGGGTCCAGGAACAATCAAGTTGCAGATGCTGAAATCAGCTGACTCTACAAGACAGTGCTAAAAAATGTGGAGCCCTGAGTTGCTCTAAGTAGAACATTTTGGGCCACACTTAACACTAAACAAGTAGGATCAGCCACCTTCAACGAACCATACTGACCTATGCAATGATCTACTTGAACAACATCATCATTCTAGCACCAGAAGATAGTGTGCCACACCATGTGAGTGAAAAGCAATAGAGTAGAGAACACACCAGACTCTGTGTTTTGGGACGAACGTGGGAGTCAAGCTGCCCCTGCCCAAAGCCCTAAGTATTTTTGGATAATTTGGGGGGAAGGGAGGGGCATGTTGTTCTTAGCAAGGCATTGAAAAACAACTATCTCCCCACCCTCCACACACACTCTGAATTCATGGAAGAATCCATGTCAGTTACACGTCTATGGTTACCAATGATACAAGGATTAGATGGTATCACAGATTTAGCCCATTATCCCCAATTCTTGATGTTACTATTATAAACAAAAAGAGCGAAAGAAAGGAAACAAATCTCCCTGCAAATCACCCTTCTTCAGAAACCTTCTTTCTCATCCCCTGTCTAATCACCTCCTGTGCCAGCTACTCTGTTCATCCCTCTTGTGCATCCAATATTTCTCTTTCTCTCTTCCCCAATTCCATTCTTCCATAGGCCTCATTTTCTTGCATACAGTCCCTGACCTTGAGCCCTTGGGATAAATAGTAGATCCCTTTGCCTTAATCACAATCCTTCTTCTCCAGGCTTTTCAGCGTGTTCCTTCCTTCTCTGGACCTTTAATACCTTTCCCTTCCCACATTATCCCATCAGTACCCATGCTAACTCCTCTTCTCTTTCTTCCCCATTGGTCAGGCTCTGGAGGTCTTCTGAAACTTGGCTACTGTTTTGTTTCCCAAAAGTTGAACAAATTTATGAGGCCAGAGCAATATGAATATTGCTCTGGAAAACATACAAAAAATATCATAGTGATTATAAGACCAAATAGCAAACTCACATTTACATTTTGTAAATATGATTATTACAATTTTTAAATTAATTTATGTATTGAGTGTTAGAGAGAGAGAGAGAGAGCACACAGTGGGGAGGGGCAGAGGGACAGAAAGAGAGAAATTCTAAGCAGACTCCACACTGAGGGCAGAGCCCCACACCAGGCCCACCAACCTGAAGCTGATCATGATCTGAACCAAAACCAAGAGTCAAGCGCTTAACCAACTGCACCACCCAGGCTCCCCCAGTTATTAAATTTTTTTACCCCTTCTTTTCCCCTTTCTTTTCCTCTTCCTCTCTCTTCCTCTTCATTTGTCTTCTGTTCCTGCTATTTCTCCCCACATATTTTATATATTCTAGGAATTTAGACATTTTTTTAGATGCTACTTCTACACCTTCTTAGAACCCAAATAAAGAAAATAAAATCATATATATTTATAGATTGTTTC